GAACCGCTGTTGCTCAGAGCTCAAACTCTTGAGCGAGCTCTTAACCAACTGAGCCACTCGGCCGGCCCTGAATTTCAGCTTTTTAAAAAAATATTTTAAAAGTTGTTAAAAAACAATATAATACTTAAGTCCTCATTTTATACAACCCTGTCCTTTCCATGCATAAAACTCTTAATCATCTTGATAACGAATTGTGGACTATGAAAAAAATATATCAGTGAAATAAAAATTGCAGTTTCATTTAGCAGAGTAAAAACACAAACCCACAGGCACCTAATCCAACTGTCATTATATAGCCTTTTGAACTTGGACTACTTATGAGAACCTAAGAAATATTTAGCAGTGGAACTGTAAGATGTTTTGTGATCGAGAAGTACCTAGTACAGGAAGAATCTGTTAATGTACAGTTTCAGAAATGCATTGTGAAATTCATAATCAATTTCAACATATAAATATGCATAACTGTCTATTATGATATATTATATTGTATGTCCAACATTTTCTTAAACCCATTTATATTTTTCAGACTGTACAACTTGTTTCCCTACTAGAGGACTGCATTCCTTGAGTAGGGATTTCCTCAATTTATCCCAGATGTTTTCGTCCTAACACCTACTATGTGCTATGTGGAACAACTATTTTCTAATCTTTCCCCGGCATGACTAAACTACAGACCAAACAATACTAAAGAAAATATTCTTTCTCTGTATGTCCTGTAAGAAATATTTTTAGCCAATCAAGAATCAAACCCATCATCTTCCAGCCTTAAACCTGGTCTCCTACTGTATCTTAACTCAAATAATGGCATGCCATCTACTTAGTCACTGTCACCAGTGGGAGCGCTTAGGTCCTCTCTGACTACTTCTTATGCCCTACACTCTGCTGAGTACTATTATCTTGTCAAATTTTCTCATTCCCTTCCTCTCCTAAGCTAGCCTTTACTTCCGCTTCGACACCTCTCAACTGAACAACTGAAACAACTTCAAAATAGTGGACCTTAGTATTCCTCCCAACTCTAATTCATATGTTACCCGGTCACCAAAATCACTCTCCTAGGACATGTATTTCATGGTTTTTACCCCTTCACTCCAAAGCAGCTGAAGATTTATGAGCATATTCGCAAATAGTAAAATCCAAATCCTTAATATGTTGTTTTTTTTAACATGCTCTTCTTGATTTGGTTCCAAATCTGACTGATTTTCTGTGGTTCTAGCACATATCCTGTGTTCTACAGAGGCACACAAAGACACACTCACTCTTTACAGGGCATCCTTGGCTCATGTTTTCAGCTCTGCTTGAAATGCAACTTTCTCCCCTTTCATATGGCTCTTATTTGAATATCTTACATATATTTTTAAAATAACTACAACTCAAGTATCACCTCCTCAGTGAAACCTCCTATACTGCTATCCCTACCTCAGTCTCTCAGAGACCCCACTGGCAGTTTGACAAATGTGGAGCATGAGCATGGCATGGTGAAAATGACCAAGAGTCCCTGCTGCCTGGAGAGGTAATATAGAAGTTGTAGAAGGTGGACTGGCAGATACAGGGAACCTGGAAACAGCCAGGAGGACACAGTATAATCTATGTGGGTTGTTAACAAGAGGTTCTTTGGGCAGAAGTGGCAGGGATAGAGGCTAAAGCCCCCAAATCAAGCAGGACTGCAAGTGTACCCTCTCCTATGGACAGGGCTATATTTCATAGTTTCTAAAGCACATACTTCATATATTAACATCTTCGAACTTGGAATGCATCTTCCAATTGATGAACATCTTAGAACTGTTGTCAGGTGGTAGTTTTTACACAGTTGCCATTGTCTATACGTGCACAAAATTGGCCAAAGCTCTTTGTATTGTTGTCACTTCAACTGAGTTATAGACATTGTTAGTATAAAGAATGGGTTTAATGATGTTTAAAATGCCTTCAAAAAGTAATATCATGAAGCATCGCTAAAGCAAAAGTTACTGTATATGTAGAAAGAGACGAAAAAGAATAGTAGGCTTTAATTTATATCAGTAAGCAAATGTTTGTCACTGGTACAGTGGGGTCAATTCTATATTTTTGTCAAGAAACAACCACGTCTTTTAAAAATGGGAAGATATTCTGTAGATGAAATTCTGCTAATTTCTGTTCTGAGAAACTATTACACACCAAGAAATTCATTTGATGGCAGAAGAAACTGCCATTTTTTTTTAGAAGGGATAAGAAAAATGTAGAAGTATTGAGAGGCTGGAGTGCATGATTCCTACATTAGGTAAAACTATCGTTATATTATTTCATAATTAAATTGACAGTATTTATTTTCCTTAGTTTTACAGCTTAATAGTGTCATAGATTAAATCGATAATGGTGCAAAATCTCCATAGAACTTAGATCAACCTGGGGTGAAGGGAGAGAAAAAAAGAATATGGAGAATCTTTAAATCTTGAATTGACAATGTTTGAACTGGAGTTCACTACTGAAATTGACAAGTTCAAGTTCTTCATCATTATTATTTAAGACGCAAAGAAATTAAGAATGTTACATCCTTGCTCAATCACTATGATAGCGACATGTAGAACCAGTACAACTAATCTATTTCAAATATATAGTCATATGAGAAAACAGGCATAGGTAACCTCAATATTTAATGCCTTGTTGGCTTCCGATGTATTTAAAATAGGGTATGCAACACATTGGATTGTGTGCTGAGTTTAATAGTTAAATATATTTTTAAAAAATGATATTCATTCATTTAATCACTAACATATTGAGCTTTTATTATCAGCCAGAAATATCGCTCAGTACTGACAAGGATAGTGATGAAAAAAAGAAAAACAATAAACATAATTCCCTGCTCTCTTATTACAGAACCACACTAAAACCTGGAAATCACTCAAAGGACAATAAAACCTTGGCTTTTGAAAGGAAGTCTCAATTCTAGGTACCATCTTGGTCAGTTATGTACTGGATGCTCTAAAGTCCCTTTTCTTAAAAGGCTTTGGATAAAACAGTTTCCAAAAGAAGTTTAAGGATGTCTTTATGGAAGTCTTCAAGATGAAAACAGACAACCATTACAGAGCCCCAAAGCTGGGAAACAGTTTAGAGATGCAGTCCAAACACATCGACAGGTGACTTGGTAAGGAGGATGTCAAGATTCAAGTGACAGAAGTAAAGTTATTCAGTTATCGGTGGCAGAAGCTCGAGAAGCACTGGCGTCTACATAACCATAGCTCCTTATTTTACCAAAATACTTCTGAATCATGAGGATTCAGTCACTGAAATTTAAAGATTTGATGTCAAATGCTCTACTGTTAGACCATTTACAGGATTCCCACTGTACTAAACAAACAAAAGCTGCTCTGATATGACAATAGGTTCCTACTCCTAGAAATAAACAAACAAACAACAGAAACATACTATTGGCATGCTACGTTCTATCCTACAATCTTTTTGTCCTGGATACTTCTCTGCAAAATGGCTACTCATGAACAATAATTCCTCTGAATTCATGTTTTCATTCAGTGACCCCCCCCAACCCAAACCCAAACATTTCTCTCTTGCCAGTTGCCAAGTTTAACCTTAGAAAATACTTTGAATAGCCAGGGTGACATACTATGAGCTATTTACTCAACATTTTTTCTGTCCTTTGATTTGCTAATAAAAATATCAATTTTTCCCTTCCCTTTCCTTCCTCCTGATCTATCTATCTATCTATCTATCTATCTATCTATCTATCTATCTATCTATCTATCTATCTATTTTTGGTGAGTGAAGGGCAGAGAGGAGGTCAAAATCTTTTGGGAGGAAGGGGACAGTTCTGAGCAATTTTGAATCCTGATAAGGACCTAGACATAGCAAGGATTCTTGCCTGCCACACTCTTGTTGCCTGGAATATAGTGATGGATGAAAATAAAGAAGCCATATAACTAGGATGAGACAAGCATGAGAAAAGGTTCAAGAAAACTGCACAGATGTAGACTCTGATATCAAGCAGCCATTGAATT